TTTTTCTAGACAATATTTCACTTTCTCACTTTTTTCCCTCTAGGTTACAGCTATGATAAAAAGAAGGGAGACTGAGGAAGGGAACAAATATTTATAATGGCCTAGAAGCTTTGCCTGTCTACCATGCTCCTTCTCACAAATCCAAACACAGACCTTTGCTTCCTCTTATGCACTGCCACTAACAAAGAGATTGCATTCCATTTATTCATGGGATTCATCGAGGACGATACCATCAATTCAAACTGAGTGAATGCGCCCATCTCTTGGTTAATCAAGATTCTTGCTGCTGTGACTCATTTCTCTATTTTGCCAAGTATTTAAAACTCTTCATGATTCGTTGTTTCTTACCTTGCCCAATGAAAGTTGGCAAGCACTGCTATCCTCACTTAATAACCCACGTTACCCAGGGAATAGCCTGGATTAGAAGCTATGATACTCAAAGCTCCTGGATAAGCGCTCTGAGTCTCCTGTCTAGACTCGATGAATAATTCACAGGTCTAGTTGGTGGGTGTCCAGTTAGGAGCCTGGCAGAGTTGATTGCTTCAGAGCCAAGACATCCAGGGCCTTACTCTTGCCTCATTTTCCTCCTTTCTCTCCGACTGCTGCTTCTAAAGGGAAATCCTCTCATTTCCCTGTTCTTTTAAGAGTTGGTACAGCACAAGATTCTGGTGCCAGCCCTCTCCTTGGTTATTCTCTTCACTCATTCAGCCAAAGAGCATTTGAACTCCTAGCACATGGGCATGGCAATTGCCTGTCGGCTTTCAGGTCTATTTCTGGCTCTTCCCCTGTTCTGCTGTGTACTATAGGCTCCCTTGCCCTCTAGCTTCTGGTGATTACTTCCAACTTACGGGAGGTACGGTGTAAAATTGGAGGGAGGGAAAAAGAAAGACCACCAGATATTTCTTTCTCTCCCTCTTGCCCATCCTTCCTGTGAGCTTCAGGTCCTGGATCTCACTGGTCAACCCTCTGCACAGCCCCTACATGGTTCTAGCTCCTGTCAGATGATGGGTTCCCTTCCTCCACGGCCCCTCCAGCCCTAGTGGTGGTAGCTAGCAGCTTCCTTTCTCCTTGTTTGGCTTGCCAGCTTTTCCATCACCCTTTTATCTGTATTAAATTATTAAACCCCATCTGCGTGCAAGATTTAGAGGACTGTTTTCCTGGCTCTATCCTGACTGACACAGACACCATTCTTCGTTACAAGCTACAGAAACCACCCTTGACATGTTGGCAGGATAGGATTTTACCACGAAAGCTATTGGAGAGATCAAAGAATCTCCGAGAGGACCCCAGGACCCAGCTCCGAGACTACAAGGGAAAGAACAGTGCTCGAAAATCTCCAGGCGACACTGTGTGGGGGCAGCCATGCTCGATGTCGTGGGTCGTGCCATGTGTGCCAGCAACACCGGATGCTGCAAGGTGCCATTCAGCTACCATCTGTCAACAGAATCAAATCTGGGCATCTCCTACTTCTTCATGACATTAGCTTCCCATTTGGAGAGCGTGGAGATGGGTACATCTAATGCTCAATGCCCAGGTCATGTGCCCAACCCTGGCCACAAGTGTATCTGACATTCTCCATTCCTGTCAGGGGAGACAGGCTCTTTATAGGCAGAATTCCCTAAACATACGATAGAGATTTGGATGCCTGAGTAGACCTTGAGACAAGGATTCAAGTGTAAGTGGTTTCTCTGGGAGTTGTGAAAATCCCAGGAATCACTGGTAAGGAAGTGGGGAAAGGAAGGGAGGGTAACTTATCGATCGAGTTATTGCTATGAGGTAACTAGATCTAAACCCTCTACAGGGGACTTGGAGCCAGTGTAGAAGACATGTCTCAGAGTCATTCCAGGGCCTAGGAGCTGAGTTATTTATACACCAGGTCTATCCCAAGCTGCTGCGAGCAGCTGGGGTGGGCCTTAATTCTCCTGCACCCCCAGCTTCCCTCCCCTACTAGTGAGCTGAGGGGCCCTCATCGGCCAGAGCAAACCTTCAGGCAAATAAAAGCAGTGGGGAGAGCAGCTGAAAAGGTAAGGGAGAGATGATGCGACAGGGAACCTACCACATCAGCCACGGTGGATAAGAAGAGCGAAGGTCCACTGGGAACTGCTCAGCGTTGAAGATATGACAGTGGATAAGAGAGAAGCATGCCTGGCCTCACGAAGCTCATGGTCTCAAGACTCAGACATGACAACAGGCAAGTACAATATACAGTGGGACAAGAGCGGTAATACAGGCAGCCCTACGCAGCTAGAGGTAGACCTCAAGCCTCTAAGACCCAGGAGCACAGAGACAGCAACCTACTCATTTTCCCATCCCCATTGCCTAGGATGGTACCTATTCACTACATGTTTTCTGGCCCAAGATTGACCTGCCAGGCACAGTTCTGGTGTGTTAGATTCATGGTCTCTACGTAGGTGTGTCCCCACCTTACAGGGAAGAAAGTTAAGGCACTCGTGATTATTCCTCACCACCTGAGTACCCCGAGTGATTCTTCGCATTTCAGCTTTGATGTAATTTCTCCAGAAGTTTTGCCTGCATTTCCAAGCCTGGGCTAACCTACCGGAGAACTTACGCTCTGGAGTGTCACTGGCAACTCATTCTCAAGTATCCTCCTGAGCTAAGCTCTTAGCAGGAACCATATGTCCGTTTTGTTTAGCAACGTACACGCAGCATCCAGGCTAGTGCTGGCGCTTTCTAGACGTGCAAGCCTCCTGTATACTGATGACTTTTGGAATGATGTGAATAAATGAATAAGGCTCAGAGAGGTTGAGTAACCTGACCGGTCACACAGCTAAGACATGGCAGAATTGAGACTTGAACTGCAGTCTGTCTGACCCCCAAATATCTCCTATGCCTGGCTGAGCATTAAGCAACTTATCTGTCTATGGCAACTAGAAAATTTAACTTGGCTTAAAGGCTGCTGCTCTAAGGTCAGAAGTCATGGGGCAGGAAGTGTCTAAGAACTTCCCATATTCATGAGGCTGAGGAATGATCAAGCAGAACTCTGGACCTAAAGCTGGAAGAAGGTTTTTACAGGATATGGCAGGATGGGACAACCTTTAAAATTCCCTGAACATTCTGTAACACCATACACAAAAATAACCTCAAAATGGATTACAGACCTAAATGTAAGACCTGATACTCTAAAACTCTTAGAGGAAAACAGAGGCAGAACACTCTGGCATAAATCGCAGCAATCTAGAGTAATGGAAATAAAAACAAAAATAAACAAATGGAACCTAATTAAACTCAAAAGCTTTTGCACAGTAAAGGAAACCATAAACAAAACGAGAAAACAACCTACAGCATGGGAGAAAATACTCACAAGGCAACCGACAAGGAATTAATCTCCAAAATATACAGACAGCTCCTACAGCTCAATATCAAATAAACAAACAACCCAATCCAAAAATGGGCTGAAGACCTAAATAGACATTTCTCCAGAGAAGACATACAGATGGCTAGATTCTCAACATCACTAATCATTAGAGGAATGCAAATCAAAGTTACAAGGAGGTATCACCTCACACCGGTCAGAATGGCCATCATCAAAAAATTTACAAAGAATAAATGCTGGAGAGGGTGTGGAGAAAAGGGAACCCTCTTGCACTGTAAATTGATACAGCCACTATGGAGAACAGTATGGAGGTTCCTTACAAAACTAAAAATAGAACTACCATACGACCCAGCAACCCCACTACTGGGCATATACCCTGAGAAAACCACAATTCAAAAAGAGTCATGTACCAAAATGTTCATTGCAGCTCTACTTACAATAGCCAGGAGATGGAAACAACCTCAATGTCCATTGACAGATGAATGGATAAAGAAGTGTGGTACATATATCTGATGGAATATTAGCCATAAAAAGGAACGAAGTTGGGTCATTCGTAGAGACGTGGATGGACCTAGAGACTGTCATACAGACTGAAGTAAGTCAGAAAGAGAAAAACAAATGTTGTATGTTAACGCATATATGTGGAATCTAGAAAAATGGTACAGATGAACCAGTTTGCAAGGTAGAAACAGAGACACAGATGTGGAGAACAAAGGTCCAGACACCAAGGGGAGAAAGCAGGGGCGGTGGGTGGTGGTGGTGGGAGGAGCTGGGAGATTAGGATTGACCTATATACACTAAGATGTATAAAATAGATAAGTAATAAGAACCTGCTGTATAAAATAAATAAAATCCAAAAAAGAAAAGATACACGCACCCCAAATGTTCACTGAAGCACTATTTACAATAGCCAAGACCTGGAAGCAGCCTCAGTGTCCATCAACACACGAATGGAAGATGTGGTACATACACACAATGGAATACTACTCATCCATAGAAAACAATGAAATAATGCCATTTGCAGCAACATGGATGGACCTGGAGATTATCATACGACGTGAAGTCAGTCAGACAGAGAAAGACAAATATATGATACCGCTTATATGTGGAATCTAAAAAAATGGTACAAATGAACTTATTTATGAAACAGATTCACAGACTTAGAAAACAAATTTATGGTTACCAAAGAGGAAAAGTAGGGGGGAGGGATAAATTGGAGTTTGGGATTAAAATATACACACTACTATATATAAAATACATAACAAACAAGGACCTACTGCATAGCACAGGGAACTATACTCAATATCTTATAATAACCTATAATGGAAAAGAATTAAAAAATCTCTCTCTCTCTCTCTCTATATGAATCACTTTTCTGTGTACCTGAAACTAACACATCATTATAAATCAACTATATTTAAATAAAGATCATACCTGTTTTTCTGAAAACTGGTGAGCTCACCTGAACGGAGAATATTGGAGGAAGAAGAGGAAGAACATTCTCTGCAGGATAGTGAATGAACACAGGCATTACCTGAGGTGTCCTGGAGAAGGATGCGGGAAGTCTGGACAGTGGCAGTGGGTATGCAGGAGACAGAGGGGCAGAGCATATACACACTGCTGTATATAACGTAGAAAACCAACAAGGACCTGCTGTACAGCACAGGGGACTCCGCTCAATCTTCTGTAATAACCTAAAAGGGGAAAGAATTAGAAAAAGAATGGATACGTGTAGAATGGATACATGTATAACTGAATCACTGTGCTGTACACCTGAAACTATGAAACTAACACAACATTGTTAACTGTACTCCAATATAAACATTTTTAGAAAAGACTTAACTTTCTAAGGTTTTTAATCTCTAGGTAAAAATGTTCCGTCTAGCACCAGCAATGATTGACGTCATTAGCTTACTAAACCAATTTTAAAATACTGGAAATAAAGTGATTGTAAGCAGCTGATCCATCATTTTTTTGCTCCTTTAAGACACTGCAGAAAAAGTCCTGACCCACTTCCAGCTTTCAGATGTTCACGGAGCCCCATTCAAAATGCAGGGGAAGAGGAGAGATGGTTTCGAAATCTCCAGTCAAAGCAATTCTTCTTCTGCCTTATTTACCAAGTTCTCATTCTCTCCTTTTGGCAAAATCAAAGAAAGTCATCCATCCTCCACGCATGCACTCTCCACACTTCCTTGATTCTAAAATAGCCAAGAAGCAGCATAGATTTATTAACAGCTTTTTGGCACGGGGAGGCCGGAGAAGGAAAAGACACGGAAAATGCGACACGAAATGTTCACAGGGATCACAATGCGCATAGCCCGATTTTAGAGTGTTAAAATGTGGCCCCAAGAAAGCCTTAGAAGTGAAAACACATGCTAATTAAATATAAAGTCTTCAAGTAGTATTAATGAAGAGCCTATATATTTTGTCCAAATGAGACTGCTAGATATAACCAAAAAAAGCGGGAACAAAAAGAGCTTTCACAGAAATTACAGTTTTGAAGAAGTAAATATGCATTTTTAAAATTTCCTTGCAGCATGTACAGTATTCAGATTTGTTTCTGAAAACTGGTAAATTGATTACATCAATCAATATTTACATGTATAATAATACAGGTGCTTTGACAATCAGTGTAAACTTTTCTTGGTAAAACTGAAGTAGGACCTAATTTCTATGTTAGCTCTTTTTCTTCTGGAGAAACATATGTCTGTGCCCCATCAGCTTTTAAGTGGAAATCCATAAATGCAGCAAATCAGCTTAACAGCTCATCAGTCACCCTTTGACTCGATCGCTGATTCAGGAATTCAGAAGCGAACACTGGGTTGTAGTCATCCGGTTCGCACCACTTCAATATGTTCCAGCAAAGTCCACTCACAGTGCCCACCCATAGGGTTAGAAGGGCAACCAAAGGCAAAACACCTTTCTCAAAGGATCAGTATTTCATGAACCCCTCAAAGATCAATATATAATCTAAGATACCACACGGAGAATTAAAAGCAGGACAAAGACATTGAATGTATATACCAAATTAAGAGAAAGTGTGGAAAAAAACACTAAGATCAAGAATACATGCCCAAAAGGTACAGCACGTAGACTAGGAATAGAAAATACACTGATTTTCTGTTGCCCGGTCTTCTGGCCATAGCTGATCCCTAATCAACCTCAGAGCCAGATGCATCCTCAGAATCCATCTTAACGTACTTTTTCAAAAAGCCACTCCAGACAATTGGAAATAGAACCGAGACAGAATTCTTTGCCCCCACTGCTGAAGATTGAATATTTTAAGCCATGGATATCTCCCATTATCTCGTACGCTGGCTACACTTACCTACATCCTTGAATGTGCCAGGCAAGTTCAAGCATCTGTGCCTTTGTTTATTCTGTTTCCTCTATCTGTAGAAATCTTAGGTATCCTTTGTGGCTCTATACAAAAATTTCCACTTTTATGAGGCATGCCCCATTCATATCCTCTAACCATAATAAATTGTTTGTAGTTCTTCATTTACTTCATGAGTTCCAGCTAGAGGAGCCTAAAGGATGTAAAAGAAAAATTTTACCAGATAATGATAGTAATCATTATTATTATATATAACATTATTTACATATAAAATATATTTCAGCCCAAATACAAAGCTAGAGACAGAAATAATGATGAGAGTTATGAACTAAATCTCCCCCCCCTTTTTTTAATAAAGCTGTAGCTTCTACTGTAAAGTCAATATATGAAAGTTTAGATAAAGCCTGGATTCCTATTGTGAAAGGTAACAACGACAGAAATTCAAACATAATATCACTTTGTTTTGAGCTATATGAGCTATAAAAACCCTATCAAGGCAAAACATCTTACTTCACAAAAGTTACTTTAAAAGTTAGCAAATTCTCATTCAGTCATCCCCACCATGGGCTGACATCCAGAATCATAAGAGGGACTTTTGTAGAGTATAGATTCCTTGGCCTCATACTTGGCCTGTGAGCCAACATCTTTGGGGAGTGGAACAAAGAATCAGTATTTTATAAAAGCTCCCCCAGGTGAGCTGAAGAACAACCATGTTTATTGTCTTGGCTAATGGTTCGCATAATTGTCTGAGCTGGACATATCAGTAAATGTTCTTTACAAGGATACATCAATGAACATAAGAATCTGGGCTCACAATATTTGAATTCCATTTATGCTGTCAGTTTCAGGGAAGATACAGGCACTGACCTTGCTCCTTTTGTTACTTTGGCGCTGTAGTGGTGGGAGAGAACAGACTGGAAAAAGTTTCAAGTCTTTAACAAATTTCTGAAGAATAAAATGTTGACTGAGCTAAAACGAAATGTCTTATGGTTGTCTTGAGTCTAAACAAGAAAATATTAGGAGGCAAAACTTTGTTAAAATTCAATTTGACTGATTTACCCAACCAAGAATACAAGCTGTTTTTCACACTTTAAAAGGCAATGTGAAAGTCTGATTTTTTTCTTTTTTGTTTGTTTCACATGTCAATCACCAAAAGAGCTTCGTTTTTAAGACTTTGGTTACATGATGACCACATCTTCAATGAGGAAAGAACTTGGTTATGTTCAAAGAAATAAAAATTAACAGTAATAGAGTTTTTAAAAATTAGAATCCCTGCAGATCTAATTTATAGCTGATTTGGGGATAATCATACCGTAAAGTAAAAGGAGATTTGAACTTAGTAGACTCCATTAATTGGATGTTTTCTGACAATTCTCTAAGTGCCAGTCTATGTAAATATGTTTTCTATGCATGCATGCCCTAGTGGGAACCAAGGACACTAGGGATACAAATGAGTAAGTTGACTCAAACCTTAACAAAAAATGAGAAATGCATCTGACTCTCAACATATTAAACAACATAGCCTTGGGACTTCCTTGGTGGTGCAGTGGTTAAGAATCTGCCTGCCAGACACGGGTTAGAGACCTGGTCCATCCAGGAAGACCCCACGGGCTGCGGAGCAACTAAGCCCGTGTGCCACAAGTACTGAAGCCCGCGCGCCTGGAGCCCGTGCTCCGCAACAAGAGAAGCCACCGCAATGAGAAGCCCGCGCACTGCAATGAAGAGTAGCCCCCCCACTCACCTCAACTAGAGAAAGCCCATGCGCAGCAACGAAGACCCAACGCAGCCAAAAATAAATAAAATACAATTTTAAAAATAAACAGACTTAACATAACCTTGAATAGCGTGGCTGGTAGGTAATAACACCAATGTGCATTTAAGAAGAATATTTGAAATTCCATTGCAAACCATTCATTTTCATGAATCTCTCTTCTGTGCTCTATCTTTTGTTGTCTTTGACAAGTAAGCTCAGAGATAAAAATAATACAAACCCACCAGCTTCCTGGGTCCAACCAATAAAGGTAGACTTTCACCATCCCTGTAATGTGTCAATCTCCCTTTTAGGCTAAGGCAAATTTGACAGCACACAGGGAAATTGTTTTAAAAATCATGGTTGTGCTAAGCGTGGGAAATATAATCTTCTAATACTAAAATTCTTTTTGTTTCTCACATAAGAATTTACAGCTTTCACAATGCATGAATATGGTTTTTGGAGTAAAGGTGAAACTGTAGTATACTTACATGCAGCAGGGCAGCCAAGAGGATCTGGGCAATTTTCCATATTTGCTCTGTAGATATGTAGTACAGACCACATCAGAAAGGAGAGGACTTATTGGGGCAGGTTGTATTTTCCAAAAACGGCCACGTTAGTATTCCCAGTCCCACATGTTCTTGTAGAACTTGCTACTTACCCATCAAGAGATAGAGTCCAGTTTTCCTCTCTCGGCACCTGGGCAATGCTTTGCGACTACCTTGAGTAAGAGAATGTGAAGAAAGTGATGCTGTGTGACTTTCAAGGTTAGGTCATAAAAGCTGATACAGCTTCCACCCGGCTCTCTCTTGGGACACTCACCTCTGGAACCCAGCCACCATACTGTGGGGAAGATGAGCGGCCGTATGAAGGGCCACAGGTAGGTGTTCCAGCCACGGCCCCATGTTGGTCCCAGCCAACAGTCAGCATCAACCACCAGACACGTGAGTGAGTGCCCTTCAGATGATTCCACCTTCCGCCCGCCAGTCACCCCACCTGATGCCAAGTAGAGAAGGGGCAAAATGTCCCCACCCACCCCACCCCACCCCAGCTGCAAATCTGTGAGCAAAATAAACACTGTCATTATTTTAAGTTGCTGTTTTGGAGTGGTTTGTTCTACAGCAACTGGAATACTTGTCAAGTGTCTTGATTCTATTTCATCTTCTGTCAACAGCTGAAGTCACTTTTCACCAGGAAAACCACCTAACAATCATTTAACTATGACTCCATCTACAATGATTCATATACTACGGTACCTGACTCTCCCATAATAACCGCCCTTTATCTACTAGGCATTTGGTCACTGCTGGACTGCCATCATGTGAGAGAGCTATGCTTGTTTAACTTGGACAGTGCAAATTTTCTTTAAAAATTATAAAATTAATCCATACTCATGAAAATTCAAACTGTACAGATTTTTAGTAAAAGAAAAGGAGTCCCACTTTGATAGTTCACTTCCACTCAATCCCACATCTTTTTGAGGTGACCATACCAAATCCAGTGTGCATCCTTTCAGACCCTTCTCTGCTTTTCTTTACCTTTATACGCACACACTCACACACTCCTAAACACAAGTCTTGGACATTTACCTCCGTAGATCATGAGTTTCTTTTTAGTATGTTGTTAAAGCACAATCATCATACATAATATTGATGAGAATTGTGATCGAGACAGAAAGATGATGACGATGGTTGCCATGTTTGAGTTCTGACTGTGCCAGGTAATGCAGAATATGGAGACCTTGAAACTGGCAAATACTCAAAAGGCAGGGCTTTTGTTTCTGGAAAACCAGTTGTTAAATTTACCAGCAAGGACCATGTTTGTCTTTGCTTATTAATACAGCCCCAGCACCTAGGACAGTGTCTAGCGCATGGAAGGCTCTCAATAAATATTTGTTGAATGAACAAATGAATGAATGTTTTAATCGAGCCTCACACAGTATTCTAATTGATGTACTTCTGAAATGAATGTGACCTACCAGTTTTATGAATGAGCTTAATTCCAAAATATAACTGCTATTTATTCTTTGTTTTCAGACATTTCTTTACCTGGATAATTGGATTACCCTCTCTGTGGGCCACCAGAGCCAATGGCATGGCTGGAGCATGCATTTCACAGGAAGGCACAGTTCCCCAGTGGTCAAGTGTTCATGCAAAGATAAATTCATACCTCATAATCAAAAAGTACCATCCTTTCTTCCTTCGTATCTTTTGACAGCTTTTGTTATATTAATGGTTTCTTAGGAGCGACCTGGTCAAGGGAAAAAAAAACATACTGAAGTACACTTATACTGTGGGTATATGTGTATTCACACAAGCAAACCTGGGCATAGCTAGATCTTTCTGGAGGAATCTACATACATATATAATAAATAATATCTTCTTTAAACAGAACTGGTAGGAGGGTTGGCAGGAGATGAGGAAGAAAGCATGAATAGTGAAACATAAAAAGGATAAGAATCCAGGCTTTGTTCTCTGTCAGCAGAAGAAAATCATACCTGCAAGGTGGTTATCTGCCAAATTAACCAACTACCCAGATAAATATAAGCAACTTATGTACTTTAGGCCTAAAAGACTCAAGGCAGTGTGGTAAAGATCAGGTGGGGAACGAAACCATTCCCGGAGAGCAAAACTATGGACATTATTTAACCCTCATAACATGCTCCAGGTTTCAGGTCACTGACAGTAATTATGATTTGTAGAATGATAGACGTCTACGTGGCACTTCCCCAATTCCATCTCTCCTCAAAATACAAGTGCTTCGCAAAGCATATTTATCTTTTCAATTAATCTTCTTGGCTTAAAAGAAGATTGTGGGCTCCAACAAATTCTTTTGCGTCAGGCTGATCTGAAGGAGATGAAGGATAGTGGTATTGGTGTGGGTTTACTCACCAATTATTCTTTAAGGCTGCTTCCTTCCAATGCTGGGCTAACAAACAGGCATTTAGTTGAATTTTTTTTCTTTCCCTGTTTTTTGGGAAGTTCCAAGAAACATTAGGAATCTCTGTTCTGTCTCTGTGAAAAAAACTCATTAGGGTGTTATATATGATGGTGTGGCTTTCATTTATGAGAGTCATACATCACCACTGGAAAGTAGATATCCTGTGATTCCTTGCTCCTGAGACACAGCAATAATTTCCACCACTGAAAATGCAGCCATCATTCTGGTGGTACTTTCAAAGGCACTGGAAAAACGCAAAGAAGTGAGGAGAAAGCCATGTATTCCCCCTGTAGAAATCAAAGAGAATGAAATTAAGGGAATGTCTAAGAAAATTTCTAGCATGTCAAGGCTTTTTCAGATGAGCAAAATAAATTAACTTATCAAGAAACCTTGACTTACTTCACTTAGTATGATAATCTCTAGGTCAATCCATGTTGCAGAAAGTCAGACACAGAATGATGAATATCATATGATCTCACTCATATGTGGAATCTAATTTTTAAAAAAAGACACAAATGAACTTATTTAGAAAACAGCAACAGACTTACGGATATTGAAAACTTAGTTACCAAAAGCGAAACGTGGGAGGGATAAATCAGGAGTTTAGGATGAACAGACACACACTACTATATATAAGATAGATAACCGACAAGGACCTACTGTATAGCACAGGGAACGCTACTCAATATTCTGTGATAACCTATATAAGAAAAGAATCTAAAAAAGAGTGAATATACGTATAACTGACTCACTGTGCTGTACACCTGAAACTAACACAACATGGCAAATCAACTATATTCCAATAAAATTAAAATGTTAAAAAAAAAAACTTATCAAGAAATCTTAAATGAAAGAGTAGAGAAATCAAAGCAGGGCACATTGCAAAAGTCCAAGGATGAGTCAACATTAGAAAAACCTATTAGTATAATTCACTAAATTATAAGTCAAAAGAGAAAAACAGCTTTCTCCTCCTTCTCATCTTGTCCCCCTTCCCTTCCTGACCAATTCAATCCAAAAGCCAGTAGCTAGGGCCAAGAAGAAATGGGTGTGTGTTAGAACTTGAGTGTGGTGAGAAGGGCAAACACAGGGGAGAGAACAGTGGTGGTAGATGGAAGACTGGTTTTACACAGGGTCTCATCACATAGGTAACGCTCTTACTGATAACAGAAATCAGATTTCTTACTCTCAGAGGAGGGAGTTACAAATGTGGAAATGCAGAACACTCAAACTTATGGAGTTGGAATGGGGTAAAAGTATCTCTATAAAGTCATGGTTTTTGACACGTGGGTGGATGGATAAACACAGATAATACAGAAAATCACATACATATAAGCGTGTGTGTAGGTACACAGAAACCTACATGTATCCTCTAGCTCAGTCCACTGAGAGGGGTTTGGAGCAGTGAAACCCCAAAAGCAGCGAGCATACCTTAGAGATCAACTCTTAGTTTCTAAATAACATTTTCTCCTAAGAGGAACTGGGGCTTCTTGGGGAAATGGCTGATTCTAGGGCTGGGGAAGGCAAAGTACAAAATGAACTAGAGCATCTTCTTATACCAGAGAGTAAGGGATCATTCACGGAATGAAGGGGATACACTAAAAGGACACAGACACCAGTTTGACGGGCTCCCGTGGGTCAAATCTGGGATAATTTGACATCAAAAAATTAATCTGAGTAATGGATCATAACATGACAAATTAAATATGAAAGCATGGGTTGGCACTAACATAATAAATGAATACACCTTTGATAAAGAATGGGATTTTTATACCCTTTCAAGGTATCTTTCCACAAAATAAAATTATTTAAAAGGGAAAGGAATAACCCCACAGGAGAGAAACCTGACAGATAACACCTTAATCAACTGATCAAACTGAACGTCATCAGTAATGGGACAAATCGAAATCATGTACCACTTGATAAGATACAATGTGAAGAACACAACCTAAAATTGAGGAACAATCTACAAAAGAACTGGCCCATAATTTTCAAAAGTGTCAAGGTCAATAAAGCCCAGAAAAGACTGAACAATTGTTCCATATTGAAGGAGACCAAAGGGACATGAGAAGTAAATGCAACATACAAGTCCTTTCTTTAATAACAGCCTTATGAAGATAAAATTCACACCACATAAATTTCACCCTTTCAAAGTATACATTTCAATGTTTTTTTACTACAGTCACAGAGATGTGCAACCATCACCACCATTTAAGAACATTTTTATCACCCCAAAAGAAACCTTGCACCCATTAGTAGTCACCCTCATTCCCTCTCCCAACACTCCCCAATCCCTAGGTAATACTAATCTACTTTCAGTCCATGGATTTGCCTATTCTGGGCCTTTCATATAAATGGAATCATATCATATGTGATCTTGACTAACTGGTTTCTTTTGCTTAGCATAATATTTTCAAGGTTCATCCATGAACCTTGTATCATGTATCAGCACTTCAATCCTTCTTTTCTGGCTGAATAATATTCCATTGCATGGAGATACCACATTTCGTTTACCTATTTATCAATTGATAAACATTTGAGTTGCTTCCGTTTTTGGACTATCATGAATAATGCTGCTATAGACATTTGTGTATAATTTTTTTTGTATGGACAGCATGTGATTCTGAACTGGGTGTCATTGCGAAGTGGCTGGGACGTTTGGCAGAACTTGAATGGGATCTACAGATCAGATGATAGTAGTGTTTCGGTGTTTAGTCTTGGCGGTTGTATTTTGGTAACGCAAGAGAATATTTCTTGTTTGTAGAAAATATACACAAAACTATTTAGAGTTGATGGGTATTATGTCAGCAGCAAACTCTCAAATGATTCTGGAAAAATAGTCATTTGTACTGTACTCACAACTTTTCTCCAAATTTGCAATTGTTTCAAGAGAGACAGAGAGCTCCTGAGAGACCACATTCATATAAACAGATGCTAAAAAATACTTGAGAAAATTCAGGAATTACCGTTAAATTTTAAAATTGTAAAAATATCTAATACATGGATATTTACTTAGCAAATACATACTTGTTTTGACACGTATCTCACACCAAAAGCCAGTATCATGTTTAATAATTAAACTTTAAGGTATTCCTAAAGTCAGGAACAAAGCAAGGATGCCCATTACCACCACTATTATGTAGCACTGTTCTTGAATTTCTAGCTAATACAATAAGACAAGAAAAAGATATGAAATTCAAAATTAACTTAAAACACATTTCAGATGAATATGAACGTTTAACAAGCTTACCAGTTAAATAACACACACACACACACACACACACACACAAAAATATAACTTTTCTATAAATCAAGAATAATCTGACAGAAGACATAATCCAGAACACATCCAGTTATAATGAAATACAAAACTAAAAAGCAAATAAAACTGAGAAAATTGTTTGGGATAAATATTCTTTGCACTAAAATAACTACTCTAAGCCATCAAGCCATTAAGAAAAATTAAAATGCCCTAACAGAAAAGTGAGCAACAGATATGAATAGTTAATTCTCCAAAGGATAAAGTTAAAATGGCAATAGACAAGGAAAAAAATGTTCACTCTCACTAGCTATTAAGATGCAAATAAAACAATGGAATAGCACTTGTTTTTGTTCTTCAAACCATCAGACATTTTTATGATTATGGGTGCAAGTGTGTAGAAAAATCAAGTGTTCTTATTGTTGCTAGTAACACATCCATATTAGTACAATGATTCTAGAAGACAATATGACATATACAAACAAACGAAACAACTTCAAATGTCATATCTTTTAGCTCAGTAATTTCACTCCTAGGAACTTACCTTAATAAAAAATGTATATATATTTAGGTTCTTGACTCACAGACATGGAAAACAAACATGCTTACCAAATGAGAAAGGGCGGAGAGGAGGGTTATATTAGGAGCTTGAGATTAACAGATACACAGTACTATACATAAAATAGATAAGCAACAAGGATTTACTGTATAGCATAAGGAACTATATTCAATATCTTGTAATAACCTATAATGGAAAAGAATCTGAAGAAGAATATATATATAAAAAATCACTTTGCTGTACACATGAAACTAACACAATACTGTAAATCAACTGTAGTTCAATAAAAAAATTAAAAAAAAAATTTAGGTTCATGGATGTTTATTAAAGCACTGATCACAATGACAAAAAAAAATCAAAACCTAAATGTCCAACAGCAGGGGACTAGTTGAATAGTCTACGAAGTTTTGATATGATTAAATATGTAGCTAATAAAAAGGTTGTATGAAACACGTTCACAGAGGATGGTTCAGTGCCATTGCAAAATGCCACTGACAATACATATGCATCCCTGTGCATAAAAACAATTAGGCTTACGTACATCAACATGTTAATAATGGTCATTTTGCTTGTTCACATTTTCCACATTTCCAAATATTTATTTCGTAACCAGAAAAGAAGTCATCACAGCTTCTTTTTTTAAAAATAAAAATAAACTCTGGAAGTGCTAGATGAGTCAACAGCAAGAAAAAACAGGGCTTTTTCTTATCAACCAAGTTCATTCTGAATCTAAAGTCTCACATGGCTGCCAACCAACCAAGACTGAGGACTCGCTGGCAGAAGTAGAGAATCAACAGCTAGGTAGCTAATAAACCCATTTTACATTTTGATGTTTGGACAAAGCTTGGAACATTGTGAGAGGTACACTTTAGGAGAGGTACACTGTTTCCTGGGAGAGTCCAGAGGGTTCTGTGATTAATAGCTAAAGGAGATGAGGAGATTTAACCCATTGAAGAGGAGAGTTAAGGGGAAGATTCTTCAAATTTCCAAGTGGCTATCATGAGAAAGAGAGATTAGATTCATTATTGTAGTGGTTCCAAAAATAGATCAAGGACCAACGCACAGAAATTTCCCAGATAGCATCTAGGGACAAGGCAAAACTCTTCCAACAATCAGACTCACCCCACAAAGGAAAAGGAGGTGAGGCACACCAGAGGTCTTCCTGCAGAGGCTTCCAATTACTTTTCAGGGCTGTTGCAATGGAGACTGCAGCCCTGGGTAAAGAACAGACTCTAAGACCTTGCAGCTCAAAGTGAGGTCTGTGGGCCGATGGCATTAACATCACCTGGGAGCTTGATAAAAAGTGCGGTTTGTTGCTTCCATCCCTAGACCTAATGAATCAGAGCCTGTATTTTCACAAGATCCCATGTAATTCTTATGTGTATTAATGAGTGAGAAGCAGACCTGGAAGATACTCTCTAACTCTCCAGTTTCTCCATCTGCTTCGGTTTTCAGAGTCTTCTTTTGCTACTCCTCTTCCACGTGCTCTTTCATGGTCTACTAAATAACCATGTAATAATTAGTTAGTAATGGCAGCAGACCTGAGGGTGATTTGTGATAGAATGGTATAATGCACTTCCAAATTAATATAATCTGACGAATGATTATATTTCTTATTGGTGGGCATTTATAGCGGGAGGAGTCCTACTGACATCCACTGACAGGTAAATGAGCGTGAGCGCAGCCATGTATACTCTCCTTGAACCCAATGAATGAGAGCAAATCAAAAGCTCTGCCTTCCTATATTGATTCTCATTCACTAGTCCTACACTCTAGGCAGCAATTTTAGGCTGCCTTTCCACCTTTAGGACTAACTGCAGAGGGGACAATGGCATCCTGCCTTCCAAGTATCATGTGTGCATTCATTAGTCCCGTCCTCTGGGACAACCCTATTCTTGTACAGACATAACTTTCCAACTCTCCACAGCTGACAGTCTAAAACTTCAAACAATAGTGGAAACATAACCAGACCTCAAGTATAACACAAGAACCAGAGCATTTAATGACAACTAGATGTTAAATGATGGGAAAATTCGACCTCGCTTCTCTGGTAGCTTTTTCTTCCAGTCCCCAACTCCCCATACTTTATGCTGTGGAATAACCAACTGCTTCCAGTGCCTCATAAACACCATCCTTTCCACGCCTTCCTGTTACCTCCATCTGGAATGCCCTTTAGATTTGTCGTTGCCTGGATAACCTCTGCTCATCCTTTAAGATTCAGCTCAGGATGCATCTGCTCCTTCAGGAAGCCTTCCTTCAACCCCAGGCTGCATGACGTGCCTCCCTCCTACACCCCGTTTGAACTTCCATTGTATCATCTTAGACTAAGTGCTATCCAACAGAGATCTTTAACGGGAGCCACATAATTTTTTTAGTAGCACAGTTTTTAAAAATGAAAAAGAAACAGCTGAAATTAACTTTAATTATGTGTTTTATTTAGCCCAGCATATCCAGAATGTTATCATTTCAACAGGTAATCAATATCATATTAAAAATTATTAATTAGGTATTTTACATTCTTTTACCATTTCAAGTCTCCAAAATCCACTGTGTATTTTACACATAGAGCACATCTCAATTCGGACCAGCCACATTTCAAAAGCTTAATTAATAGCCACTCATGGCTAGTAGTGACTGCACTGGACAGCCAAGCCTTAAACTGAAATAATCTGCTTATGGGTTTGTCTTCCCTACTGGAAGGCAAGCTACTCAGGGGCGAGGTCAATTTCTTGCTTGTAGTTTCGTCAGTGTTGCATCAGTGCCTGAGATCTATTGAGCACTCAGCAAATGTTTGCTCAACGAAACTGACCTGAAGGTATTTTGAGAGAACGTGGAATTTTAGCAGCTGCTCAAATGTAGAGCAGCTTATGTGTACTTATAATAATAATGGTGATAGGAATAATGGCTAATATTTTTGTCTTGGACCTCGTTCTATGCTCTTTAAACGTATTATCTTGTTGAGTCCTCACAACAACCCCATATACTATGTAGCATTACAACCTCTGCTTTTTGGATAAAGAAACGTGCCTCAAATCATACAGCTACTAAGTGGAAGAGCCAGGACTTACCGAAATAGTTATAGAAAAACAAAGTAAATGACAATTAGATGCACACACACATCGCGTAATGAATAAAAAGTCAAAAATAAACTATATTCACAGATATTATAGGCCTACTTCGATAGGTAGACCTACCCTTGAATCTCCTTCACCAACCTCAGCAGCATCTTTTCTGGGGCTTCTTGATCTGCTGAGTTTTGCCTTATCCGGGGGTACCTCTTTCCAAGTTTCTGAACCAACTCCTTCTGGCTTGAAATTTCATACCTTTCATACTTGCCTTCTAAGCTACTTGCATCCTGCCTGTCTCGTCAAAATGGCAGCGCTTTTCACAAGCCACTCCAGTGAAAAGTCACCTTTCTCGGTGCCTAATCTTCTCCCAGGATATGGAGAGAGAGTGGGGGCATAAACTGTTTTCCTCCACACGCTGCCCCCAGAGGACCCCTCGGTCTCGCTCACGTGGCCTGGGGGAGGGGGAAGTGAGCCATCACTGCTGATGTGCGCTTTGTGTAAGGGAACTAGGCTGAACTGTGCTTAAGAAAAACGATGCAGATTTCAAGTTTTGTGTGTGAGTGTGTACAAAAATTCCATTATCTCTAAACCACAGGAACCAGAACCACATCTGGCAAAGGAAATAAAGCTGGAGACGCGAGGAAAGAATAGATTAGGAGAAGCCTTGAAAACAGGCCGCCGCGTTTAGATTTGATGCGGTGGGAAATAAAAATCCCTGGAGGGTTTCTGAGCAAGGGAGTGATGTGATGAAAACAGTGATTAAGGAAGATGAAATGCAAGTGGGACAAATCAAAGGGAGGGACTACGGGAGGCAGCCTTCCGGGCGCTGGAAGGCAGGGAGAGCGAAAGAGAAAGCATGGGGATTAGGGGCAGGAACCAGGATTCTCTATGAATTAACACATGCCACCCGGAAGTCACTTTACTACCAAGTTACCACCAGTTTTTTAGGCTCATCCCCTATTTGGGAAGGCAAAAATCAACCCACAAGGAGCTGAATATTGTCATTAAAATGACAATAAAATTTCCTCTCTGTGAATATAATGATTTAACTGTATGTGTGCCCTGCTGAGTAAATGAGCTTTACCGTGAGCCTGTAGAACGGTTTGCAGGGCAGAAATGGAGCTCAGAGAAATTTATACTAAGCCCTTATTCACCAAATAAACAAGCCAGTGAAAACAAAGCAATTTTTTTTTTTTTTACAGAGAAAGACAAATATCATACGATATCACTTATATGTGGGAAAAAATTAGACAAACATTTACAAACCACAAACAGACTGACAGACATAGAAAACAAACTTATGGTTACCGAAGGGGGCGCGCATGAGCAGAAGGGATAAATCAGGAGTTTGGGAATAACAGATACACACTACTATATATAAAATAGATAAACAACAAAGACACACTGTATAGCACAGGGAACTATATTCAATATCTTGCAATACCTATAATGGAAAAGAATCTGAAAAAGAATATATATATATATATATATATAAAATAGACAATGTTTATATTTTATATATATATAAAACTGAATCACTTTGCTATACACCTGAAACTAACACAACACGTTAAATCAACTATACTGAAAAAAACCCCGAAATTCTTTAAAGCAGCCTCACGTGGATGAAGCCCATGGGACAGGGTAGAAATGGCTGTCCCCAAGGTGGCAGCCCCAGCCCAAGAGCGCCCCAAACTCACTGCCCCACAGGACTCTGAAAGCATCCTTTACAAGTCAGATTCTACAGTGGCAGAAATCCGCAAAGAACTTGGGTTAACCAACACTATTTGCCAACGCCCCATGCCCTAAGCCATCATGTTCTCTAATTCTGGCTGCAATTTTACATGGTCCAGAGACTCAAAAGTTATTTTCATTCCAGTTTAGATCTGGAAAGAGCCTTGGAGAATATCTAAACCCTAATATCTTAAAATATCTAAAATAGTTTAAGAATATTTTCAAGCTGCACACAATGGAAATACAATGGATAAATAGCAAAATGAGCTCCTTGGGTAAGGACTGTTGCGAAAGGCCCAGAATTCCACCTGCTCATTCTCTTCCTTTCGCTACCCTAGCCCCTCTCTCCCCGCAGCTTGCACACGTTACGGCAAACCCTGAACCCCTCTCCAGGACCTTGGGGCTGAAAAGAAAGCAGTCTGCAAAACACTGAAGAGTCCACTATTTTTGTTTTGCTTCCGCTTCTTGTGACAGGTGAACAGATTGAAGCCCGGAAAGCTAAAACGGGACTTCCATTTCCAGCCACTAAATAACTCAAAAAGCCGCATCTTAGAAACCCCTACAATGCTGGCTAAATGCAAATATCCATTTAAATGCATCAAATGAACTCACAAAGGCATAAACTCCTCAATCTGAAAACGGCTATAACGTATGACCCAGCAATTCCATGTCCAAGTGTGGACCCCAGAACAGTGGAGATGCACCACTGGGTCATGGAATCATTTAGTAAATTGCAAACAGCATATTTTTTGGTGTGTGAAATAGACCAGACCAAACTGGATTATAGCCGAATAGACAACAAGGGTGAGTAATTATTCTGAGAAATTTTATTACACATACACTGTGTATACACACAGACACACAGAAATGTAGCACACGTATGTGCTGGGTTTCCATGTAAAGTGTATGTTTAACTGTGGGCGTAGACAAAACATTTTGAAAAAATGCTATTTTTGAGAAGCTTTTGTATGTCAGTACAGGAAATAAACAAGAACACTCATGGAAGCATTGTTTATCATAGTGCAAAATTAGAAACAATCTAATTATTCATCAACAGGAGAATGGAGATAGATATAGATGGATAGAGAGACAGACTGACGTCTGTTCACAAATCATTACAATATATAGTAGTTAAAATGAACGGATCAGAGCTTTGCTGCTGAAATCTAATGCCAAATTAAAAAAAAAAAAGTTGCAGAATGATATGCACGTTGTATTTAAAGTTATTTAATGTTTTAAAACATGCAAAACAAGAGTACCTATTGTTGAAAACATGTATACGGAAGAAGTATGAAAGCACACAAATTCAGGACAGTGTTAAGCTCTGGGGTAGGAGGAAGGGAAATGGGGTTAAGGAGGAATCCACAAAAAACTCAGCTAGGTCTGAAGCGAACTCATCCAAATGTCAGGATTGCCTAGAACTCGATGGTGGCACACACAGTTCTGCTATTATATTCTCCCTATTTGTTGTTGTTGTTTAAAAAAAATTTTTTTGTAAGTCACAGATACTTACCTGAGACCAGATGGCTGACGGGTGGGGTCATCTGGAAGAAACCCAAGCAGGACCCCGAATCTGATTTCCATTCCAGTCCTCTTTCCACGTGGCTCTCAGTTCAGGATCTGCCTGCAGATGCAGGATTTACATCATTTTGGTGTTAATCTTAGTAACTTATTTTTACCGAGAGATACTGTTCCTTACGGCCCATCAAGGCCACATCTGCCCTGGCCAGAAAGAGCACAAAGCGCACTTGCTCTGTGAGGCTGAGCTGTTGCTTCACAGTTTGTCACTTGGCTCTGTTTTCCAGCTTCGCTCATGCATTGCAACAAAATGCTGAGCCACTGAAAGGCTGGTAGAGAGATGATCTAAACATGCCAAAAGTATATGCAAAAAAAGAGAGAGAGAGAGAGAGAGAAAAACAGAAACGAGAGGGAGAATCATTTGCATGTGAGGAAATAGACAAAGTCATCAGTCACAATCAATACTGCTCAGGAACCATAAAACACACAGGGGGGTTATTTTAGACGATGGGAAGAGCTTGAAATAATGGCATTTCATAGCCTTTAAGTGCAAATACACAATCTAATGGGAAGGGGTTTGTTAGCATTTTTTCTAGTCTATTTTAAGACAAAAACAAGAAGACAAATGATACCTTGGCAATGACTGCAGAGAGATTTATTACACCTTGGAAAGTTCAGGGCAGTGTTTTCTGTTTTCTTCAGTGGCTTAAAACAATAAAAGTTTATTTTTCACAGTGAGTCTGCCCCAGGCTCTTCTCAGTATCGTCATCATCTTAGCTCCAAACCCACGATGATGAAGCATCCACTCTGGAGGATTTTGGGATGTGATGGCAGAGGAGAAAAAGAGAGATCTCGAGGGTGTCATGTCAGCAGTTGAGTCCTCAGCTGAAAGTAGCACACGTCACTTCAGGGCAGTGGTTTTTATCATTGGATCCTTTATGCTCTTCAAGTTACCTAAGAGGCTCTTCCCTCTTTTTCTTCTCTAAGCATGACTTCCGGGTCAGCTTTTCAGGTGCATGAACCAAAGCTTTCTGCTGTTGGAGAAGAAGATAACTCTTGTAGTAGAGTGCCCGGAACAAACCTTCTCTGGAGTCAAGGAGTAAACGGTATATGATTATGTTGTTAGATACTTCTCACCCTGGAATGCCTACCTGTTATCACGAGCTGTGAAAGTATTCTTTTCATACTGCTGGAGAAAACTCAGATCTGCGACAGAATTCCTCCTGCTGTCTCAAGACCCAATATAGCAACAACTAACATTTACTGAACACCTACTCTTCTCGGGAAGGCACTATTGCTAGCCCATTTTACAGGTAAGAAAAGTGAGACAGATACCAGAAGGTTAAGTAATATCCCTCAGGTCACCCAGAAGAAGTGGTAGAGCCAGGATTTGAACCTAGGCAGTTGGTTCTAACAGCCTGGGCTTGTAACACACGCCACACTTTATCCAGGAGGTGCTATTTAAAATAAGTGAAGGTAGCTATTGAAATGACAGCACCAGGTTACGTTAGGAGCCATGGGGCCTCTACGTCAGATACAGGGGGTCTAAGAGGGAAGTATTCACACACCAGTGAAGGTGACAGTGGTTTGATAAAAATCAGAATCCTTTCCTTAGGGCTCATAGCAACCTAGAACATTAGCTTCAGGGCTCCTGTGTATTCTACCCTACCTAAGTTATGGCTAATTTCTGTTATGCCCCTCAACCCCCAGAGAATGAAAATGGAGATGGACTTGGAAATGATATCAGATAAAAGTCAGAAGTCTTAAGCTTGAGTTCAGTATTGCCACTTAACTAACTACATGGATTCATTTTCCTCACCTTCCTCATGTGTGAAATGAGAACAAGAATTCCTGCTACATAGGTAGTGAGAGTCGAGTCAAATAGAGGCACAGAGAACTGTGATTGTACACACTCGCATTGTTGACCCAGGAACTTGTTTTCCCTTTATTCCACAAGTCAGAGCGAAACAACAAAATGCTGTAAACATGTATGAAAGACTCATGTGAATGCCCAAAAGCCTTCTATTGCAGAATTAATATTAACCTTGGTTAAGTCATTTTCCCTTTTCTTTCCCCATCTATAAGAGGAGGGATACTAATCACTGAAGTCTCTTCCAACTTTGATACTGTGTGATTTGTTTCATCCCGGAACTAGGAGAAGTGAACCAGCGTTTTTAAATGGTAGTTTGGCTACTTGCGGACCACCTTACCCTCTTACGGTGAACACATGCCTAGGGTCCCACCAATCACACAGGATCCATGGGAAAATCTAACAGCTCCAAGATATAATTCATTGCCCCCAAGTTTACGTGTTAAAGGGGCCTGGATTCTGCACCGGAACCAGGTGGGTATCTGGTTTAGCAGGCAACCTGCTAGAAATGGGGGTGGTGGCATTCCAGCACTTTTGTTCTGGGTAATGCCAGACACATGAGGAATGCAGGACAGGACGACCTTTGAGGGAGCTTCTAGCCCTATGATCTCATGTGACTGCTTCACTGATAAGTATCACTTGAAAACGATGCTGGGTATGACCAGGCATAGCAGGCTGGGAGCCAGAGCCAGGTCTTTCCACAGGCAGACACGTCAAATGTGGCAAATGTAACTTGAGGGAGTGACTGGAGTGTGGTCCTGAAGCAGCTGTGTGCCAGGTGAATGCTTTGCCAGCCCCTCCAGAATAGGGTTGACCCATTCCAGGGGAAGCCAGCCCCCTGGGGAGCCTACGTGCTGTGGCTGAGAACGATGGGTCCATTCTCACAGGGAAAGGGCGTGATCAGTCACTCTGATCACAGTCTGTCACATGGACCCTCCCCCAGGCATCCCATCCCAGCCTGAAGCAGACGATAGGAACAGTCACCTCTGCAGCATGGAGCCCTGTCAGCAACCTGGAGATCCATCATAATGCCCGCAAGCTGAGTGGCCAGTGCGGTCACAATGAGATGAGCACGGGTGGCCTCCCGAATCACCATGCACTGGACGCCCATTAATAATTCAGTCTGTGCCTCTAGCACGCCGTGCTCATCCCTGCCTAAGGGCCTCTGCACTGGCTGTTCCCTTCTGAAAAGCCTGGCCCCCGGGTCTCACACAGCTGGCTCCTTTCTGCAATTCAAGTTTTATTTCCAGTATCGCTTTCTTAAGCCTTCTATGCACACACCCTCCCAAACTCTCTATCACAACACTCCATTTTATATTTCATATAGCACTTCTCATTATCTGGAATGATTCTGTTCATCTATTTTTCTGGTTTATTGTCTATTTCCCCTGTAAAACGTTAATGAGAACCAACATCTCCTGTGTCTTCTCCAACCTGCTCTCAACACCTAGAAAAATATCTAGCAGATAATAAGCGATCAATAAAAAATTAGCAAAATGAATGCATTAGTTAATGAGTTAATTCCATCTAGGAGAGGTGTGGACCAGCCCAAAGAGGGCTCCCCTCTCTGTGCTGTGTAGCAGTGGTAAGAATTCACGGCTCCAGGGGAGCTTTCATAGACACCTCTCCCCATTTCATGAGCCATCCTCTGTCCTCTCCCCCATTAAAGATCTGAGAATCATTCTCTGATCCATAGGGATTGGCTCCCGACATCTATATTTTAGGAATGATTTTGGCTGCAAAGTCACAACAATAACAACAACCTATTGTAGTGCGCTGTAATTTCAACGAAGGGGTTATCATTTTTCTCGAGAACAAATCAGGAGGTGTTGGGCCCGGTGTCAGGGTGGCAGCCCTACTGTAAAGACATCTTGGCTCTCCCTCCTTTAAAATCCCTGCTCCTAGCACACAACTTTCATCTGGTGCTTGTCACATCACACTCACAAGATGACTGCGGCACCACCAGGCATCACGTCTGAACTCCAAAGAAGGGGAAAAGCAAAGGGAGAAAGAGCCGTGCCTTGTGAATTTGTTGTTCCTTCTTATCGGGAAAATAAAAGCTTTTCCAGAATCCATATCCAGCCCCCTTCTATTTCCGTCTCCTACCTTAGTACTGGGTCACAAGGCCACCCCTAGACCAGTTCCTGACACAGGGCAATGAGATCACGGTGACTGGTTTATATTGTCACACTGCATCCCCTGGGGCTGGAGAAAAAGACCCATTTTCCGTGAGATCGAGGTGTTGCCGCACTCTGCCGAACAAACCGATATATCATAACTAAATGGCCTGGAGTGGACATTTCACCCAAAGTTAGAGCTGAGGCTCACATAAACCGAGAGTGAAAAGCAGATGCCTTGAGCCATCATGCTTCTGAAGTTCCTGAAGCTTTGGCTGTTCCAAGTGTTTAAATTCCATCAGATGCTGAAATAGCTACCCAATATATTTTCTTTTTTTTCTTAAGCTGGCTCAAAGATAATGTCTGTTATTCAAAACCAGAGGGTCTTCGTTACAGGAGCATCTAACTACCAGCACCCTGCACGGCCCATCAGGCTGCGCTGCATGGTTGCTGTAGGGTGTTAGACAACCCATTCCTATCTCCTTCAGGAATGACAGCCCTGTGGACCAAACACTCTGCCCCCCCCTGCGGTGACCCAAGCGCTTAGACGTTACGTCATCAGCCTGACGACCTCCCCCTCTTCACCTTCAGACAGTATTTGCTGAGATCCCCAGTGTACAGGGAGGCCCGCCGGGTACTAAAGGCCTGCCTTGTGACAGAGGGATGGGGTTTGTGCAATAACACCCATACTCACTAGTGGAGATGTCACATCTCACATCCATGACAAAGGCCGAAACACATCGGGCCTTCTGATTGTGAGCCCAGTACTTTTTTTTTTTTTTCTTTTTTAAGCCATCTGATTCTCCGGGACACACACACACTCTCCCTCTCTCTCCCCATTTCGCTCACATACATATACACAAAAAACAGTCACCCACACCCTCACAATTAAGAAAGATCCTAATGGGGCTTCCCTGGTGGCGCAGTGGTTGAGAGTCCGCCTGCCGATGCAGGGGACGCGGGTTCGTGCCCCGGTCCGGGAAGATCCCACGTGCCGCGGAGCGGCCGGGCCCGTGAGCCACGGCCGCTGAGCCTGCGCGTCCGGAGCCTGTGCTCCGCAACGGGAGAGGCCACGACAGTGAGAGGCCCGCGTACCGCAAAAAAAACAAAACAAAACAAAAAAAGAAAGATCCTAATGAGTGAAAAACCTGGCCAGTCCAGCTTAGTATTCCGCCCCTGCTAATTAGCCATAAGGAATATTTGGTGGAGGTTCTGAGAATAGTCACACAAGTATCTAGAGGGAGATCTCTTGCTCTATTTCCTATAAATTTATTCTAAATTCTTTCCCAATGTATATATCTCTTCAACTCATGCAAGTTTTAGACAGGATTTCTCAAAATGTGTTGCTTGCAACTTACAGGTTTACATGGACAAATGGTTCCCTAATCAGATGGCTTTGGATCCACCTGATTAAAGGACGTTCGGTGCTGCTTCTTGAAAGACATTGCAAAGCCTTCTGTATTCCAGAATGCACGATGAGTAGCTACAAGAGGGGTGCGGTGTGTGGCATCTTTCGAATTTCTCTAACCACTGAAATTTCTCCCTTGGTGTATGTTGAAAGGCTGGTGAGGCAAGAGATAAGCTTTGGGAAACTGCTAGGGGAAGGGGCACAGAGGGGAAATCCTAGAAACTACTACCTCTTTTAAGTACCAAGAGACACAGTGTATGGGTTGGTTAAGTAGGCCCCGTGCCATTTTATGAGTACCCCTAGTGGATGTCAGCAGACAGTTAGAAATGCCACTCAGTCCACTGTTCCCAAGTTCTACGTCGCAGCTGCTGTCCTGGGTGAAAAGCACATTAGCCTAGCGGAGACTGCACGTGTGTTCTTGGGCTGATCATGTTATTTCTCTGATCATCAGGTTTCCCTCCTTCAAAATGAGCACACTAGACCGCAGAAATGATACCTGTTCACACCATCTAGAAAATGAAACCAGAGGGAAAGGAACCAAAACCCATTATTTTAGAATACTTATTAATAAATTAAAGACGGTGACTATGTAATCTGCTGTGATTTTTAAAGACTATGGTCATTTTTGGGCTGCAGTGC